GTGGGTTTTCATGCAGGGAGCCTGACCTGCGGTGAGTCCCAGCACGCTTTACAGATGGCCATTAAGAGAGAGGTCAACAGTGGGGCCGTCGCCTGCCGACTGAAGAGGAGTTCAAGCAGAGCAGAGAATACCTGAAATGATTTGTGTGAAAAGAAAGAGGACGCATTGAGTTTTACAGCAGGAGGCCTTTGAGATAAAATCAGACCAAACAAACTGCCTGTCAGCATCTCTGTGCCTTATGTTTTAGGTTCACTGATGGAACAAGGCAGCCCACTTATCGGCTGTATTTCTCTACATCCCACCGAAAATTAGGCAAGATGCAACACCATCTGGTTGCTAAGTGATTGTTTTCTTGGGTCTTTTCACTTGATGCGACAATCTAAACTGAATAAAGCTCCTTCATTTGCACATCTGTAGTGCAGCTTTGAGACGTGTTCACAGATGAACAATGTGGGTCAAGTTTAGGAAAGGCCAAATATGCCTACTTGTAGAAACTTTTAAGCAATATCATTATGAAAGACTTTGAACAGGGAAAACTAAAAACTATCTAAGCTATGTGGCAGAAACGAAGGCTTTCTGTTTATGCTAATGAAAGGGAGGTCAACTAGGGTTGAGAATCCCATGAACATTCAAAGTTGAAACTTCTCATGGATATTAATGGAAATAAGAGGAATAAAAGGGAAACGTCATCTCAAACTTTATCCACTATATTTGCAGATATAAACTAACCTTTTACCATAGCAAAAGCAGTCATAATCAATTAAGTTGTCAAATGAAGTAGTTACTTTGTCAAATACATACATAATGTGTTACAGTTCAATTCAGTATGCTTTCAACAATAACATGCCAAATGCTTTTAAAACAAGCATTTCTCCCAAATAAGTCCACTATCAAAAAGGCTAATTCATTTTCCACCCTTTTGACACCTGAGTCACAACTATGGGTTTATACAGCAGTGACAGAGAGACAAGCACAAAGCTCGAGATAGGGAGGCTGAAGAGGGAATACTTATTTTATGCATCCATCTGTCGGTCAAGTGACTTCAGGGTAATTAGTGTTTCAGTCACAGAAGGATTTTGTTGGAGCAATAATGTGGTTTTGCAAAATGAAAAGAGTATGTAGCCATTGAAACATTGATTTATGTAGAAATGTTCTCATTGTATCACAAATTGTATGTACACCTCACCTAATATCTAACAAAGTTAGTTTTAATTTACTGATTATCGTTTTGCTTGTGCAATTCTTTTTTTATCGTGTCTTGGTCACAATTATTGACAATGGTTCGGTTTCGTTTCTCTCACAGTAGATATCGGCCCTCATGAACTCACTCTGCAACTATGAGTAAATTCAGGTCATGGAATGCTGATTACAAACAGACACGGTGCTGCATTTGATCATTTAACACGCTCTAAACTAAAAGAGCAATTACATATCTAGTAACCACGACGACGGACGGGAGTGACCAGCAGTTCAAGAGGAGGCGTCTGCAGCTGTCCCGTCCTTCCTTCAGTGTATGTTCTTCTACGCAAAGCAGCGCCGCGCTAGAAGCCAAATCTACAACCAGGAGCCAAGACGTCCCCTCCACATATTATCCTGTTTGGCACCGGTACAAAAGCAGCTTAGGACGCAGCTTGGGAATACGGAGATAGATAAACACGAGAAAAAAGGATGATGGAGCTGAGCCAAATGGGTGGAGAAGAGACAAAAGAGGCTTGTGTGTGTGTGTGTGGGGGGGGGAGGGGGGTGTATGTTCACTGCTGTAGACTGAGATTGTACAGTAGACAGTAGTGTAATAGTAACCTATAAGGATTAATACATTGGATGGTCAGCAATTCTGAGCACTTATCACTGCAGAAACTCTGCTGCTGTTCATTATAAGCCACGTTGCCATTTCAATGGAAATCATGATGGAAATATGTCATTGCCGTTTGTAATACATATCCATTTCTCCTCATTTCTCTACACTCTCCTGTTGTTCCTGTTGCAAGTGTTTTTAAATGATTTATTTGCACCTACGGAATCCTAAAAGCATTGTTATCTGAAAACAAGGGAATAATTCTGCATTGTATTGTTCCATACGGTTTCCAATTTGTTCATAGAAATGATCACAACGCTAGAAAAATGACACGCACGATTCCAAAAATAAGTTGCTTTATTTCTATCGGACTGAACATGCACACTTCAACACTTCACAAATCTCGGATAGCGAAATCAGACCCCGAAGCTTTTAGTGCGCCCTCATAACAACCAAAGCACCCGCCTCCCTCACTGCATAGACAGTAGCTCAACCCGTTATAGAAACAAACAAACCCAAAGCCACCGGCGTCCCAACCAGCTGCCCCGTAAACCCACTGAGTCCCTGAGAGAAACCCTCTGTTGTGATGCATTGAGCATTTAACAAAGTAAAGGCACTGGAAGATTTACTAAAAGAAAAACCGTAGCGACAAAAAGGAGGAGAAGTCAGAGAAGGACCAGGTGAGAGAGGAATAATGACAAGGATACAAAGCGCTGACACAACGGAATGTCCCGTCCTCTCCTGAGCGGAGGCCTCGCCGTTCAAACGACTTCTGACAGTGAAAGGGAAGAATCAAAAGGGAGATGCTAAACCTCCCCCAAACCTCCCCCGCCCCCCGTGTTCACAGGCTATTGAATGAATCCTGTGTACACACACACACTAATGCTGCTTCCTGGTAAAAACCGGGACACACAAAGAACATAACCAGCATGGAGGACATTTAAAGGAAGGGAAACTTGACTAGAAAGAGGCTGAAGGGCAAACTTTAAAAAAATCACGGGAAGTCAGACTGACTCTTTTTTAAAACACACACTCGTGAACATGTAACGCACACCGTGTGTCCACCGGTGAAGGTCATCGCACAAAGGAGCAGATGACATGAGGGGAAGAGCCCACTTTACAAAGTGTGGAGAGATGCAGATGTTGCAACTGAAGTCTAAATCAATCTCCATGGAATTGCTTATTATTATTATTCTTCCGTGTACGGGTTCACTGTTATTTATCCCATCTGGTGTCTGCTAAACAGCAGGAGAATCCGTTCTCGTGCAGCACATAATGTCTCTAAAAGGACAAATCTAACAAATACGAATTAAACTGTGTTCAGTGCTCATTTGATGTCACGTGCTGTCAAAGATTTTGGGGTATTATGCTCATTTGCCTTGCAAGAATCAAAGATGCTGTGATTGCACATTAAATACGTTAGCTTAGCATAAAGACAAACAGGGGTTACCAGCCAGCCTGCCTCCGTACAACAGAATCCGCCTACCAGCTCCTCTGAAATGGATATTCATCGCGCTTCCTATAGAGATGCATCGCTACGATATTGACCCAAAACTGAACCCGTTAGCTGAACACTGGTTCAGTGACAAATCTGATAGTGGATACCGTTATTTTACGTATGAATTAAGAAAGTCATTCCTGCACAGTGAGAATTCAGCTTAAAGTAAACTATTAAATGATTGTGTCGTCACACAGCTCACAGCAGTTCATCCCTACTACGGTTTTGCCGATCTTTTAGTCAACAGTAGGAGAGCTTCCTCTCGTATGAAACAAATTAAATCATTTGTATATTGCCACTTTTGCCAATTTTTTCCCAAGCGTATTCATAAGATTGAACCCTTTCCAGCTGCATGGTCCACTAGCTTCCCTCTCGAGCAACATCCTCGGGCCAGTGTCTTCTGAGAAGAGCATTTCTCATGAAATTTGCTGACTAAAACCTTCCTTCGAAATTACGCCTTCACTTCGCTGATGTCTGTTTGCAGGACAATGTAATTGTACTCAGCTCCTTTCCACCGTCCTCGTCTGTGCTGTTCGGCCTCTTCCTTTGTAGCCGGCTGGAGAGGGGAAGCACCAGAACAGAGTCCAACAGACTCTTTGTCCCCATACGTCAGAAAACGCCACTGGCGCTCTTTCCTCCCTTTGTCTGCGCGCCTCCTACATGCGCCCAGCATGAGCATGAGTCTTTCCCGTCTTCAGCGCTCAACAATACTGCATCTCTGTGCCTCCTGCCCACACGCCAGAATACCACAGCGTGGCGCCGCGAACCTCTCCCTCGATCTGGCTCCTTCATTGTTTTGAGCACCCAGTGGCCTCTGTGTCACTCTTTCACCCGTCGCTTCGTCATCAACAGTCTCTCAATCTCCATCCTTTTGTCCCTCCATCTTTAAAAATTGGTGAGCTCACCAAACCCCCACGTTAGAGCGACTTCATCGGGCAGCAGCTGCAGTCAAGGCCGCAGAGCAACGCGTTGGCGGACGGGGACGATGAACGCCGCCGCCGCGTCTGGGACACCATTTCATTTGACACCATCAGGTCTCTGAACAAGGCCACCAAAGATAACATTACATCCGTGTTCTTTTCACAAGAGAAGCAGGCTTTTGTTTATCTTGTTTTTCTCAAGAATGGATCTCAGTCACAAGAAGTCCAGAGATAGTGAACAGTTTCTTTGTCTGTAGTTGTTCATTTGTCTACAGGCTTACAGTACATTATTTGTTCAGGCGGTCAAAAGCCTAAATTAAAGGCTCCAGATGAGGTTTTGAGTGGTTCGGGTGCTTTACAGCGGGTCTGTGTGGTCACAAGGGATCAGATGTTCATCTTTTTATGTTACTGTATGCGTTACACGTGGAGCTCAAGGTTTTTGAGAATGGAACCACCATGCTGAGTCATCGATAGTCCTCCACAAGGATCTCACATGAAACAGAGATAAACTATTTACATTAAAATGAGTCTGATTTCAAGCTGACAGATTCACCAATATAAATTGCATTGCAGAGTTCTAATGCAGCCAAATCACAAAGCCGGCTTGACAAAGATTTTAAGTAAAAACTTGATAGAGACTGCCGCCTGCTGGACACTGTGCACATTACATCTGCCACGAAACGTCTACCAGCCTGCAGTCAATAATGAATTAAAAGGAATAAACGCATTTGACAGTAATAGCTCGGACGTCATGAATAGTGTAGTAATGAGTAACAAAAGGTAATTCTATCGTTTACAAGATTGTTTTATTGCATGCGTTGATTTGTAAAAGCTTTTCAAAGTTGAGTACATTGTCACATGGATAAATGGACATTATTGGTTTTTCAAAAAGGCATAGAAATGTTCAAGACTGTCAACTGCCGTGATAGTAAACCATTTTATCCTCTTTAGTGAGCTACAGAACTCCTTCAGCAAAGCTTCATCAGTGTGTGTGTGTGCGTGTGTGTGTTCAGAGATGCTGGTGCAGCCACAGCACTGTGTTGAGGAAGCAGTCGGCCTGTGTGTCCACTCTGGACAGAGAATGTCCATCATCTGGAAACCACAACAACCTGGACAGACAAACAGAACGATGCTAAAAATCGATCTTTTCCTTTATCGAGGTCTGTTCTCTGTTCATTGGCTGCACTTAGTGTTTGCTCTGTAGTACCTGACAGGGGAAGCTCTGCTCTTCAGGGCTTTATAGAGCTCCAGGCCCTGGTGAGGAGACACTCGCCTGTCTCTGCCTCCCAGCATCAGTAACACTGGAGCCTTGATCTACAAACACAAACCCAATGACAACTGATTGCTGGCTTTTCATATACATCTCGTATGAATCTACTTAGTTCTCTTTGAATTAATCCAAAATAAGTTTAACCGTGATGTCAAAATATCAGAACAAGAAAGATTTCTCTCTCAACAGCAGAACGGAAACTGGAAAGATGCGCTCAGTAGAGTTTAGATCTAGAAACTCTAGATTTAAACCGTCTTGAGCGTAAGCTTATCACATGTATTTCAGACCCGCATGTCTCTTTCAACAGATTTGCCCTCATTTTGAACATTAAGCGGTCTAGACTTTGTCTCCAGGACGCTCTTTATCTATGTATGTATTATCTACATTATGCAACCAATGGCCTTGTGCAAAGCAGCGTTTGTAATCCCTCCATCCCTCAACCTCCGCTGTGGACACACAGACACACACGCACCCGCAAATCGACGGACAAATGCATGCGCACACGTACACACATACGGTTAAACAGACGCAGATACCTACAAAGCCTACAGCCGGCAAAGAGAATACTTTTTGGTTTAGGAGAATGTTGGTTTCTATCATGATTCAAATATTGCATTTAGAGTTGTTGTGTGTCTGACCTGTGCAGCATGTGTGATGGGGGACCTCTCCAGCATGGCGGCCAGGGCTTCAGCAGTGGGTATCTGGTCATACGAGTATGGGAAGCCCACACTAGTGTATCGCCTGAACACACACACACACACACACACACACACACACACACACACACACACACACACACACACACACACACACACACACACACACACACACACACACACACACACACACACAGAGGATCCGAACATTCAGCACATCGCAGTGGTTTGGACGGGCAGCAGTGGAGCAAAAGCTCACGTGTGTGTGCGCGTGTGTTGTTTTGTGCGCGTGCCTCACCAGTCTACTATGTCGCTGGTGCCCAATAAAGTAGCGGCGTTAATGACGGGGTTCCTGGCCGCGCACGCTCTGTAGAACTCCGGGTACTGACCAACCAGGTGACAGGAGAGGAAACCGCCGTGAGAACCGCCGATCACAGCCAGTCGATCGGGGTCGAGGGAGACGTCTCTCTGCAGCGCGGCGGCAACAGCGGCCTAAAGACAAATCAGGAACGGGGACTTTTTCATCGTGATACTACAAGACCGACAAAAGCGAGTCGACCTTCTCCAACTGCCAGCAATCTGTTGATAATCACGTCTCCTGTCCTCGATACTCATTCCTGTTTGTTTACATGATTCTCAATCCAGGGCTGGTCGGTACCTGCACATCTTTCACATCCTGGCTGCCGATCCGACCGATTAAGGACAAAATGCCGTCCTGGCCGAACCCCGTGGACCCCCGATAGTTCACTACAGAAAGACAGACGGCGTGAGATCGAGGGAAGACATCTCAAACAGAAGAGACCTGGAATCTTTTGATCATGTGGATTGAAGAGTTTTCATTTTTAAAAGGGGAAACTTTTTAGGCAGATTATGTTTACCCTCAAACAAAAGAAAAAAGACACAAAACTACATCCCCTGAGAATATCTTGATGAGCCTTTGTCTTCTTAGCATGTAGGTGTGCGTGTGTGCGCGCCTGTAACAGAGGAATCTCACCCATGAGCACAGCAAAGCCGAGTTTAGCCAATCCAGCTGTGGTGCAGTTCCACTCGGCTGGGAACTGGGAGTGAGGCCCGCCTGGAGGAGCAAACAAACATTCAAATACAACCACAAATTAAATCAAGCAACATCTTCCAATACATTTTTTTCCCCAAAAGAGAAAACCAACACAGATGAGTAAACACGCACCATGGACGGAGACCACCAGAGGCGTCTTGTTTTCATTGGGGGGTCGAGACGGTTTAACCAAGACGGCCCCGAAGTCTAAACCAGCTGAAGAGGGGAGAGGGAGAGACATCACAGCAGGTTTCATACTGACAGGGAGTGTGTGTGTGTGTGTGTGTGTGTGTGTGTGTGTGTGTGTGTGCTCACGGTAGTGTGTGTTGTCCTCCTCTGGTGGAGGTGTAACATCCAAAACCGTCCACTGGAAGTCAAAGGTCAGGACGGGGGGCTGTAGAGTTTGCCAGCTCACAGCCCCACCCGCTGGAGGCAGGAAGCCCACCCTCTGCAAACACAAACACATCTGCTCCGTTCAAAGACACAACTTCAAACACCCTGAGGATGCACGAGTAGCTGAATTATTTTGTTTAACGATGCAGTAAACGTAATATTAGCATAATGCTTGTTGCTGTATCTCTCATGCCTGTGTGTGTGTGTGTGTGTGTGTGTGTGCGTCTGACCAGAGTAGGAGGTGTGTTCGGGCTGGAGCAGCAGACGACCATCAGGTCCTCCTGGACCGTCAGCAGCCTCCAGCTGCCGTAAGCTGGAAGATCAGAGAGACCTGCAGCGGAGGCAACAACAGAGACAGTGGAGTAAAGACCGGGAAAGAAGTGATGAAGAAAAGGGGGCAACACTTCAGGGCACAATAGACAGAAGAGAACAAAGAAATAAAGATGGGGTGTTTGGAAATAAGGACCACACATTTTTAATACTTGAAGAAATGTACTTATATTACATTGTATGGGTAGATATTGATTGTTCAATGTTCACAGGTGTGTCCAAAAGACAGATGTGGACGTTGTGCAGAATTTAAAAAAGTATATTTGAATAGTGCAATTGTTTGCAAGTCTAGTTTCCAGCATCCTTATGCTCTTGCTATAAACCCTACATGCGAGCATTTCTTCAAGTACATATCGTGATGAAATGCAGTCATCTTTAGGTTGTATTAAACATCTTGTTTATTAATTTCCTGGTAGGATTTTGGTGGCAACGTTGAACCTGTTGGTCTCGTCATACCTTCCTGATTCCTCTGGTGCTCCTGATGAAGGTGAGAAGGTGGTGGAGGAGGGAGAGGAGGATCAGGAAAATGGGCGGGAGGAGGAGGAGGAAAGTGAGAGTCACAATAAGGGGGAGGAACTAGAAGGGAAGGGAAAAGAGAAGGGGTTGGTGGAGGTGGAAGCATAGGGGAGAGGGGAGTAGGAGGAAAACAAGATGGCAGATTAGAGGGAGGAAAAGGAGGAGGAAGGGAAGGCCAACAGGGGGAAGGAGGAGGTAAAAGGGGAAGGGGAGGATGAAAGAAAGGAGAAGGAGGAGGAGGAAAAACAAGAGACGGAGAAGAGGACAGCACAGAGGGAGGAGGAGGAGGAGGAGGTGGAGGAGGAGAGGATGGACTCTTACTATCACAAAGGGAAGTAACTTTGTTGGATCTTCTGTCGACCATAAAAAGATCCTGAGAGAGACGAGAGGGGGAGAGTAAGTATGTGTGCAACAAGGCTCTGCAAGGGATGATCAATGCACGTAAGAACATTGAAAGAAAGAAATGGACAATTGTGGAACTATGCTGATTTGTGTTCTGGACAAAGGTTAAATCACAATCTACTTATCATGGATCTCATTCCTTGACTGATCGGCAGCTCGCCGTGCGGACAGTAAAAGGGTACGAGCGAGCTTCGCCTCGCTCAAAGTTAAGCAAATCTACCAGCCAGAACTTTTGAAAGTCAGTAATCAACAAAAACTGGCATTTCGGCTTGAGTACCAATGACACAAATGATTGATTTAGAATCAAACTATTCCTTAAATGTGTTGTTTTCACCTTCCAGTTTCTTCGTGCACTGCTGAACACGACCCTCTGACTGTCTGCAGACCAGCAGCAGGCTGGCAGCGCTTCATACACACCTGCACACTGACCTGAAACAAAGTCACATGAACTCACATTCATCACCAACTTCATTGAACAGACTGACGTTTAGCATCATATTGACCATCGTAATTTAGCATGCAGACATTTTTTAAGTGTGAAGTTGATGGGAATGTGATCTTTGCATGTCCATCTGAAAACAGAACGAGATGGAAAGTCAAACTGAGGGAGGCACGAATGTCATAAATATGAAATAGTTACTGAAATATTTAAACGCAAAACCACATGGTGGAACTACAGGAAAAGTCAGAGGATCATGCAAAGTCAGCGGGACAAATCCTGCAGGGGACATGAACGTGTGTGAAGCAAAAAAACAAACAAAAAAAACGCCTCCACTGGAGCCGCAGCGGGAGTTTAACAGTGTGCGACCTACCAGTCTGTGGTCTGTTGACCACATCCAACAGGGTGGACGTCCTCTTGCTGCTAAGGTCCAACTGTGGAGGATTAAGTCACTATTAAGAAAACAAAAACGCACACGCACACACACACACACACACACACACACACACACAGTACCTGCTGCAGACTGAGGCATTGATTGTGAGGTCCAAACACTCTGCCCTGCAGGTAGATCAGCGTGGACCCGTCTGGGCTGAGCCTGGGACACGACACTGACAAGTTGTCTCCAGACAGACACTCTGGTTTGGAGGGAGTCCAGAGTCAGAAATCAAAAGGAGCCAAGCGGAGAGTGTGTGTGTGTGTGTGTGTGTGTGTGTGACTCATTAACAAAGACACAAAGGCCAGTGTGCTCACCACAGTTTCCATCCAGGTCGAGTTTGAACAACGCAGACCTGAAACAGAATTTTAGGAGTACGACACAAAATGAAACTAATGTCCACAGTGTGATTCTTACACAACCAAATGAATGTACCACCAACATACTGTAAATAGAGGATATTATGTACAAATTGATATTTTCACATTAATGTTTTCTATTCATTTTGGTGCTCAAGTTGCTGTTGTCAAAGACAAAGAATCAATCTGACCTGCGGTTGGAGCAGAACCGCAGTCCGAGTCTGAAAGGTTCGTGGTACCAACCGACCAGAAACACAGACTGACCGCCGCGAGCCCACAGAGCCTGGAAGACGACCCGCAAAACACACGCAGCATTATGAAAGACCCCAAAACATAGAGAACCAGAGCGGTGGGAGGACTCCCTGCCCTCACCTGTCCAGGTGAGACGTCGAGCGGGACGCCCTGCAGGACGCTGACGGAGCCGCACTGCAGATTTACCACACAAACCACCGGGACGCTCTTATTGGTCAGCGTCTCACCCCAGTCCTCACAGTACACACTCCTGTCCTGTTTGGTCACAGTTACACAACGACAAACGAGGGCAGTTAATGTGAGTGATGTATCGTTAAAGGGAATTATACTAACTGTTCCTTTCCTCTGATGCATTTAAAAATCTGCATGTTATTCACTGTGAAGGTTATAAAGAGCAGACCCATCTGTGTAATACCTTCCTGAATGCATGTTCCCCATCGTGCGTTACCATCCACGTGCTCTTAAGCTTCTCAGCTACGTAGAGCAGCTTGTTCTCGCACTGCGACCATGAGAGGCAGCCAAACTGGGCTGGAAACACACAAACACAAATCACACAGCAGTGCCAACTTACATCACCAAATTGACGAACGCTATATTGCATGATGCCACGGTTGTAATGATGCAGCAGAGTGCGCATGGACACAAACTCACCGTCATCGTAAACTCGGCCGTGTTTGTTGACAGCGCTCAGGTTGAGGCACTTCCTGAGGCCCTGGCGGTCCCATATCTGAGCAGCGACAAGCAAAGACAACAAGAGACTGTGGAAAAGCTCCGACGTTGACCTCACGAAGCACACTGCGCCTTTTCTTGTCTCACCTCGAGGAGCTGGTGGCCACTTGTTTCCCTGATGACGGCCCGAAGGCCTTGAACGGGAGAGAGTCCACTCAGCAGCCTGAAGAACAGAAGAGAAATGCGAAGGTTCAAAGACAAACCAACCCAACAGAGCAATGCTCCACGGTACGCTCTGCTTAAGGGTTAGTTTGGATAGTTGCTGCATCTGTAAGTGAGCAGAGATGCCACCTGTTTAATACCGGTATTGAGTTTCGCTGACATTTACAAGTTGAAATGAATCTGCCCTTTTAGTCCAAAACATGAACTTTTTGGTTGAATACACACACATAGTTTGTGATTGTGTGTGTGTGTGTGTGTGTGTGTGCACTCACTCTCCAGACACAGGCACGCAGGGTCCTGGTGGAAGGACAGTCCTGATGCTCTTGTGGTCGTTGGTGTCTGTGATCAGAGTCCACTGCTGCGAGTAGCGAAGTCTCGATCCTCGGACCAGGTCAGTCTGACTCCACTCTGAATAAGAAAAGGTCAATGGCACGGCGTTCTCTTTAAGGCCCGTCATCCAAAGTCCTGAACGAACCCAGAACTCTGGTCACATGACCCATGACACCTCTCCTCCGGAACCACAAACGATCGGCTCCTCTGACGCGACCTCCTGCCGGGGCATGAAGCAACCTTCTCCACAGCGGCCCCTCGCTCTAAAACTCTCGACCCAGACGCAGCCAAGCTTGCACCAACCGGTCCACACCCAAGTCACAAATTTCTAACCCACTCACTGCTTTTAACGTGTGATTAACACACATTTTTTATGCTTGAAAAAAAATCTCTAAAATGTATTGGTGTAACAGGGCATTTTTAGGAATTGTATTAATAGCATCAAACCGATGCAAATGGAAACTTTAAGCAGCCATATTTGTCAGTGTTGAAACCACAATCAGATCCCCATGAGCTGCGACAGTCAGGTGCGTGTATAGTAAACAGATGGGTTTACTCAATAAACCCTTTAAAGCCTTAAGACGAGATCACTGTGGTCAGACGCAGCGTGACTTTGACAGCAGGTGGTCGTTGGATCCAAACAGATGCTGGACAGCCGTACTCATTCCCACTAGGATTTCTCTTCACATTCCGGTTGGTTGAAGAGACTGAGGGTTTCTTTAAGTGCCGACATTTACATGCTAATACGAGGAGGGAGACGACATCAAGACATCTACTGACCAGACGGTTTTCCTCTTGTCCCCACATCGTCTTAAATGTCAGCTTTGCACAGATGGCTTTTGAGCAAACAGGCGTTCAGCTTGATAACAACAGGCCAACCAGCAGGCCCGATGGGTGTTGGTGAATATTAAATAAAACCAGTGAAATAGATTGTCACAGCTACTATGAGCTATGAATGTTTGCGTGAGCTGCTGGAGGTCATTCTGCAGGACTCAACTTGTTCCTCTTTGCACAAAGCAGCAGATATCGGTCCAGCTGATGGGTCGAGCACCTTCTACGGTCCTGAATCATGTGCTGGGACACGCAATAAATCTTACATGCATAAATATGGCATTGTGGAGGAGTTGGACAATCTGTGCAACTTCTGCAGGGTTGAGAAAAGCCTCATGCTCCCAGTAGTGATAATGACTCTACCTAAAGTATGGTGGGAAACCAGTCAGAGATCAAGAGGGAATTCACGCCTGATTAGAGACCGTTACTTTCATTTATGTGTAGCAGTGTAATGTTGTCCAGGCCGATGAAGCCCCACAGACAAGGACGGTCACCTGTAATCACGGTGTACGTCCGGAGCTCCGCGAGCTTCTCGTCTCTCACGTGGGCGGAAACAGGCGCAGGTAGACCGCTGACCTCTGCGTGCGCCCCGGTGACCCGCCCGGGGTCCATCTGGTCACGCACGCGCACAGCTCATATTAAATCACGTCCGAACGAACCTCCAAACCACCCAACCCTTGACCAGAGAACCCCCCCCCCGCGCATCAGACAGGGACGCTAAAGTCCGCTTTCAGCAGGTTGATTTAAAGTAGTTTGCTGCACCGGGGCGTCCATGTTGAAACCACGGATGGGCGATACCACTTTGGCTCTGTTCGCGGGGGGTGTAGTACAGAAGACTGACCACACTGGGGCAGCGGATATTCACAAGAAACCTCAATTTTTGTCGTAAATATTACCGATATATGGTTAATAGTACGCAACTGTCAATGCGTTCCTTTACCAAATTACCAACCAGCAATTTACCATGTTATAAGTTGCTCCTGCTCATTTTTATAGGGCTATGACTTTTCAGCTTTCTACCTCTTATGCTTGAATTTATATAAATCAACAATCATTAATATTTTAACATGGTTTTCAAATGGAGTTTGTTTTCAAATCCTCCTTAAACTTCTTCAACTTTCAGATTTTTCAGCTTCGCAAATCTTTCAGCTACAGACACCATTTAAACTTTCAAATGTTGACACAAGTCTCAACTATTTTATGAAAAAAACTGCTTCTTGATATCTTTTGTACTTTTTTCATAATCACTGATTATGTTTCACTAGTTCTTCGCTCCGTTTCTGACTTTTACATGAGTGTGTATTGCGTCTGCTAGAGTGGGGACCTCGAGGGCTAGAGTGTGGGGCAGCGCAGGAATCTGGTTAAAAAAAGATGGAACTTCTGTCCTTACAGCCAAAGTATACACTCTAGAGCAGGGGTCTCAAACTCGCGGCCCGCGGGCCAATTGCGGCCCTCGGGACGATATTTTGTGGCCCCATCCTTAATATGAAAGTGTAATGTTAGTGCGGCCCGCAAGTTTTATACTGTAACCCCACTGTCAGCTGCTGTGTGGGACATGTTATGATGTTCTGGTTTCCTACTGTGTGCTTGTCCAGTGAACGTGGCATGCATGTGACTGACATGGGGGGGCGGGTCGTGTGTGTCGGCCGAGGTGCAGAGAGCAGGAGGGTGAAATTCAGTTTCCTGCCCTCTTTCGCGCAGGTGATCATGTGACTAACCGTTAGCATCGCTCGTTTAATAAAGTTTTCCTTTACGACTCACACTAACAACACATGAAGCATCTGACGTCACCGACGAGCGTCTCCGTCCATTACTACGCAGCTTCGATTCACGTAACTTCACGTTTGGCTATAAAGGAATTCCACGGTCACATGACCTTAGGTCTCCCCCGCTGAGTTAAAGGAGGACTAGTGTTGTAGTCTCATTCGGACCGATCCCCCAGGGTGGGGTTCAATGACTGCTTTTGAAAGTGAGTGTTAAGTTGTGTTATTGTCGACCATGCCGTTCGGACGCTAGTCTGGCCCGCGTTCGGTTGAAGTGGGCTGCATCTGGCCCGCAGCTGATTTGAGTTTGAGACCCCTGCTATAGAGGCTTCATTTCTTCAAATTAATGAGGGCATGGTTGTGCTGATTGGATTAATGCGTTCATGGAATCCCTCTTCTCACTGTTAATCACTCAGTCAGTCAGTCTGTCTGTCTATTTCTCCTCCTCTCTCTCTCTCTCTCTCTCCCTCTATCTCTTCCTCACCACCCCTCCCTTCCTCACCCTCTCACCCTCCCTCCCTCTATCTACACCCCCCCCACCCCACCCAATCCAATAATTTCAAAATAAAAGCCCCATGGAGGGAATTTTTACTGTAATGTTTGTGATGAGGCCTATTAATTAAAAACTTTTAAGTGTGAATAACAAACATTCTGTCTCCCACTATGAATATTACTCGTACTTCTAGTACTACAACTGATACTTCTACTACCATACTACTAGTATTTCTACTGCTATTAATACTACAACTACTACTAATGTTATTACAAATACTACTATAGCCAGTAGTATCAGTATCCTGCTGTTTCTACTGCTATTGATACTAAACCCACTTCTACTGCTAGTACTACTAATACCACAATTACAACTATAACTAATACTACTACTACTATTACTACAAACAATTTTAAACCTCTTTTTATTCATCTCAGCTTTTGTTATTTCTGTACTTTTTTAAATTCATTTAAGCTCCTGCAACTTCTGTTTTGTTTTGCAATATTTCACATTTATTTCAGCTGTTTTCATTCCTGCTTTTTCAGCAAATCTATTGAAATTCCTTTCAGCTTCTCCCATTTCTGTATTTTCAGCAATTTCAAATTCATTTCAGCTTTTCTAATATCTTTTATTTCAGCAAATTTATTCAAATTCCCTTCAACTTTCAGTATTTTCAGCTATTTTAAAAAGTTAATTTTAGTTTTTCTCTTCAGATGAGAAGAGAAAAACGTTTTTAGTTTGTTCATCTATGGACTAAAAGTGTAATAGCAGGTTGAGCTGGTTCATTCCCTCTTCGGCCCCCTCGAGCTGGTAAGAGCCATAAATCTGTTCAGAGTGTGCCTGATACAGATATGGATGAAGGCTATTACAGCTGATTTATGGACGTATTTGTGAATGCCAATAAACTGTCACCTGAGTGGAGCAACGTGGCTTTCAGCTCTGACTCAGCTGGTTCAGCTCCACTCACGTAGTGCGGGTTTCTGACCTTCCAGTATTCGGCCCCAGCTTAGATACGGTCGGTTATAAATGCAGAGCTGTGATTAGGCTCGGCCTGTTGATAATGTGCAGTAACCTCTGGACACGTTGGATTTGCTTGATATGGTCGAGATAAAGCAAGAGCAGTAATATAAGCGTGGCCCCATGACCTCTAGCTGTACTCAATAGTTAGTCTCAACACGCAGCAGCTTTAAAGGATTTCTGATCCAGTTAATCAATATTTAATCCAGGATACTTTATATTGCTTTGTATTGTTACACCCACGCCTTCTGAAAACAACAAAGCATCTTCTCTGAAGAAATTGAGAACTTCTTCAGAGAATACCAGGGCAGGATATCAAAACGGAAATCTTGCCTAAAATGCAAAATGAAAACACCTTGTTTTAATCTTATAAATCTAATAAATATGTGTATAAAATCCTTTTTTGCATAAGGCTTAAAATATACTTCTAACTGCGTCCACAGGTGCTGCAGAGCTGTGGGAGCCCTGAACTTCTGCGTTCGGTGATCTAAGTCGCACCCTAAGTTTCGTAACGACTGGGAGCCGCCATTGGAGCTCCTCAGGACAGCCGCGTGGGAAACAGAGGGAGCAGCGGGGCCACTGGGGCCCCCCAGCAGCCCCGATTACAGACAACATGCAGCTGAAGATGTGAGGGACTTATTTGTTAGCTGCTGTCTGTGAGTGCACAACCATAACAGGTCCTGAACGCCAACCATGTAACAATCTGTCTGCTTTTTCAGTATTATGGAACACAATCCTCTAACTCAAATGGGTCAAATGGGTACGTAGGGAAGTCCTTTACCAACTTTGCCGTCGCTTTCACCCATAAAATACCTCACTGTTTGACGAGAGGACACCATTTCTCCTAACAGGTCTTACAATGGGGCGCCCTCCGCTCGCAAATATGCCAAAATTCGCTACCACTTTGTAGCACGGAATGCCAACGAGCTGTCGGTGCTGCAGGATGAAATCCTCGAGGTAAAAAACGCAAATATGGTTTTTAATCTAAACCAAATGCAGATTTTAGTATCTGGCCGGGACGATGCAAACTCTTGTTTGTTTACCTTTTGGGAAGGTCATACACGGCGAGCTGTGTGCACACCTGTTATGTTGTTTTGTTTCTTTTGTTTCTTGAAAAACCAACAAACACACACAGTTTCAACATGTATGCATGGATTAATTGGTCTTAAACCAATATGAATAACGTCCACCGTTCTCCGCTGTCGGTCTTTGTCTTTGCATGTTGCAACGAGTCAATACACTCATATGAAGGCTGCTGTCAGCTTTCATACTGTGAGTCACACTCATTAGGTATATTCAGGCGAGGTCCAGTGGTTAGAAACAACCTCCACTGACTGCTCAACAGCAAGCAAGTTCAAATACGGCATCAGCACTTATATTATTTAGCTTATTTCAGTAAGATTTCTTCCTATTCTTATTTTACCTAATTTTGTCTGATTAAATATATTTATATGGGATAAGAGAAACAGGGCTGCTGCATTTCATTGCATTTTGATGAACTGTACCTTTTAAAATATATATTAATAAATGATTATAAATTAACTAAACGAGGTCAGAATGACATAATTCCCAAATACAATAATCATTCCGATGTATTTACACATGTATTGTAAATAAAAACTTTGTGACAAACCAAACTAGACTGTAAAACAAAGAATGAATGAATGATGAATGAATAGATTTGTTCTAACCTACACTGAGCAATGAGTGAATGGTGAACAGTAGCTTCCTGAAAACAGAACAATTAAAAGAAATGAACCGTTCTTCTGTTTTCAGAAGACCAGCGGGGACTCGGAGCTGCAGGAGGTCATGAAGTGGCGGCAGGAGAGGATCGACTCGAACAACGCGGACGGAACCTGCTGAGCAGCACGACGGCTGCAGCAGCTGCTTCAATCAACCTTCTGCTAATTATAATCCACAGGGGGGACATACTGAGATGTGGTACACATTCTTAGTCTATATTTATTTTGTATCATACGACTTGCATGTATTCCAGTGTTTTCTTATCTAATTATGTTGCTTTGGTTTTCATTGCCTCATTCAATTTTCGTACGAACAGGGGGACATATGAATCTACGCACAGTTGTGTTTGTGGGAGCACGTGTGAGCGCAACATGCATGTAATGTACATATATGTACCAGCTGTGTGGTCAATGTTTCTGCTCATTGGCAATATTCTAGCTGTTTACCTAATGGCTTAAATAAACAAGCAGTCCGTATCTCTCACACATCTAAATCTGTGCCAGAACGTTTGACACATTTTCTGATATATAGCCAATTATTTTCGTATTGCTGTTTACGAGTATAACAAATAATCAAACACACTATGTATGTCAGAAGTTGACTCATCCCGTTGGTACCTGCAGATCAGCACCAGGTATTAACATGAATAGTGTCGCTTTTCATAAAATTAATCATGCATGTTTATCGTCAATAACAGTGAGACGCTATGATGAATGTGTTTGTATGCAGCATGATGCATGCATATGTGTAATGATGTGATGTGTAGTCACGAAATGAAGATTAAAGCAAAACATTCAGGATTTAAAGTTGTAAATATGATAAAAACGTTAGAATTTGGCAAATCTTTTTTTTTATTCAGAATTCTTGTGTTGTCATTGGATCAATAATAGCAGAGGTGGATAAACAGTCAATACATTGGCTTTATTGATTAAGATAAGAACAAGAGTAAGAACAGAAATGCAGTAACTAATTCGTCCTCAATTACATAGGAGTTTTGATCTGTCCATGTAATTGTCTCATTTTATTGTTCTGCTTCACATTATAGTTATTAAAAAAAGATCCCTTTAAATACCTTACAATTGCATCTCTAAAGCCATACTACTGTTGTTGAAGACACAACACATCCCATGAGCACTAAAAACCTGGCAGAGAATCTGAAAAAACACCAGCACTAAGAAAAGATTGTTCCCACACTATCGACTGGATTATAAAACCAAACAATTACAATCAATGCATGATTCAGAAGAGGATAAAAGGTCACTCCTTGTAGGTGCAGAGCAGAGGATTAAAGTTGTCATTTATGGAGATAAGCGTCAAGCCAGAGGTCGCCCGAGTTTTTCAGTGACCTGAAGAAAAGGGAACAAAAATACACAGTTCACACCCGACAGTTTAGATTCGGTCATTACAATACTTTCTTCTCATTACATCTTCATTATTCTGACAGTTTCACTGCTCACTGCAATGCTTTAACCTGAAAACGTCTCCTTCTGCGAGTAGATGATTAACCTGGATTGGACTTACCTGAAAACATCAGCGAAGCCTTGCCACATTGTCTTCACCTGGTAAGGGATGCCATGTTTGTCACACAGCGCGCGGACCTGGGGGGCCACCAGGTGGTAGTTATGGCGCGGCATCGTGGGAAACAAACTTCAGAGACAGAAGGGAGAGAAGAAGCTTCAAACATGTCTCAACAAATGCATTATGAAATAATAAGGGCGTCAAAGTAATCGTTTAAAAATAAGGGACGGGTGCTTTCACCATAGTTCTTTTTTTTTTTGAAGTAACATTTAGCATTTAAAGCAGTTAGGCCACATAACACCCAATGAAGGTCACTGCATGCTAGAGGAGCTTAGATTTATTCGAATTTGAATAATTATCTATAATTTCAGGAGCTTTTGTCTGTTCTTCCTACAAACTTTGAAGTGATGTTCTCCTCCATCACTGACTTACTGGTGTTCGATTTGAAAGTTGAGGTGTCCACTGAACCAGTCGTTGAAGGGGGACTGCTTGATATTACAGGTGGCGTGTAACTAAAGTAAAGAGGATGACACAAGACGTGTTCATACATCAGCCGAATGCAAAGCTGGCTCCGTCGGCTGTAAATCGGGTACCTGCATGGACAGCCAGTCCTGGTGCTTCTCGTGGTCGATGTTCATGGGCAGATGATTCATTTGAGTCACCCACACAAAACAGTGGCTCTCCAAAACCCTGATGTAAGCCAGCAGAAGACCAGTGACTGAACGTTTCGTCACACAATATGATCACGCTGTTGTAGAAAAAAAACTTCATATTTTTTCATAGAGGTTTTGATAGCTTTTGGGTTTCACCCTCCAGTATAGCTTGATCTGTCTACATCACTGTGAAAGGTGGTGTTTACCTGACGAAGCTGATGAGCAGCATTGAGCCAAGCAGGCCATACAGGGGGACAGAGCAGCAAAGGTAGCGCAGGTAGTGGGACAGAGAGCAAGCCAGGTCCTTCACAAAGACAGCAGGGTTTATATGAGTCATATTTGTATTCAAGATTCCTTCCAACCAGATGTAACCCTATATGTAGAAACCACTTATATATAATCTGCACTGTAGCACCCGGAAGAGGGCATCTTACCACCCAGTCGTGGCGGGAAATCATGGAGCGCATTATTTGAATGTGGAAGTAAATTGGAATGAGAAGCGGCGGTCCAACTAGGAGAGAAAAAGTAAACTTATTGTTCCTGTGTTTTCAGTTTTCATAGTTTCACTCTTTTTAAAATCAATTTCAGAAACATACCGAGGAAGAAGTACTGGTGTTGGTGGTGGTAGGGCATGTATTTGATCTTTTTTATGCCGTACTGTAACAGAGAGGAATACAAAGTGAAAGGATGAAGAAAGACTGAAAAACCAACATGTCTAAGAATAAAAAACATCCACCACTTGCCTCCACCGGTTGAGTTTTACCAATCACGAAGAGGTGCAACATGTTGACGTCGGGGTCCTTACTGAAGACGTTGGGCTTGGCGTGATGCTGGTAATGCCTGTGATTCCACCAGTTGGCAGATGCTCCCTGAGAAAACAATCCCTTAATATTTGTGTACGGTTTGTTTAGAAATAAAGAGGTGCGACTGAGAACACCAAACCACCTTCAAATGGCCGATGGTGAACTTGTGCAACACGTGGTTCCAGCTGGACTTCTTGAAGACGGACAGATGGCCGAAGTCGTGCTGCAGCCACCCGGCCTGCAACTACAGGAGAGGAAGAGAAACCGGCGTTAGCTTAAAGTTTGTTGACAATAACGGCGTGCGGCGAAGGAATGTTCGGGGTCACCTGAGAGGTTGCCAGCAGGAAGGCGCTGAGAAGGGTGAGCGTCCAGCTGGTTCCCCAGACCCAGATGATCAGCCAGGCCAGGGCCTCCAGCAGCAGGATGTGACCCAGGTGGAAGCAGAAGAACGAGGGCCGAGCTCGGAACAGACCCTCGCTCTCCACCTTGGCGCGTAAAGTGTGGAAATCCTGTATGATGGTCGCCTGAGAGCGGAGACGAGCAGACGCCAGTCAGTGGGGGTCCAAGACTAAAAGGGGAGGTTCTCGCAACATTTGAGGACGTGCAGCTATACAGTTTTAGCGCAGGAGATGCAAAGAGACACGAAAAACAAAGCATGTAGGCAGTTTGAGTTGTCCTCAGGCGTTGGACATGGTCCCAACGCTGCCGCGAGACGCAAGAAATGAGATGTTTATTTTTGCTTGAAGAATCTGAGACTGATCTCACGCTTTTGTTCCGGTCCTGGCTGGGCTCTGTCGCTGCCAGCTCTCCAATCAGCAGAGGCTTCAGAAACTTTTGCACACACTTTAGATCGGGATGAAAAGCAGTGAACGCCTCCTGGAAGAAACAAAAATTCGGGGGGTAAATAAAAATTTTTTTTTAAAAGTTTGCCAAATGAGTTTTACAATCTCGGTAAAAGGTCACCGTGGCATCCTCTCCGGCGTAGTGGCTGATGACCCGGATCCCTCCCGGGTGCCTTTTGGCCCACTGAGTAATGTTGTACACCTTCCGATCGATCACCAGCCACTGGTCGCTCCTGCTGCAGTGGCTCTGCACCTCCTGCCAAGTGTACACGCCACCTGCCCGCCCGTTGACCTGCTCCGCGGGCTCCGTCAGCTGGCCTCCACCTCCCATCCTCGCTGGCCTGCTTCCACCAAAGGTTCGGGTCAGCCGCAGACTTTGACACCTGGGTGTTCTGGAAGAGAAGAGAAAAGATGAGGCGTCTCAGGAGAGGTGTTTATCCTCCTCTGGCATCCAGATGAGATCAACAGATCATCAAGACCAGACCCAAAGACAAAAGTGAGTGAACACCAAGAAGTGGACGAATCAAGATGTGGTGACGACAAAGATGTGACGCCATGTCCTGTTGCTGTCGGTCTGGTCTGCAGTGATGGACACGCTCAACAATGAGTTATTGATAAAGATCACTGCAAACAAAAGCCAGCCGGCGCCCAAGAAGTTCCACGTGGAGCGAACGACCAGCGACCATGTACCGCTCACCTTCGACTCAAACCCACAGCAGGTGACTGAATGGCTCAACGCAAAACGATTCTCTAAACCGTAAGTTACACACGCCGCTTATCAAGACATTAACAGAATCAACTGAAGAAAAGAAAAGGCGTAACTCTGACAATCTCACTAGTTATGGACACAATAATGCTGTTTTTTTAAATCGAGGTGTAACGCACCACAAGAGACCAGAGTGAACTCAAGTGCAGAGCGCAGTTTTATTAGCGGGGTACAGACAAGGATCAGGCGTGGTAGTGTCCGGTGAACAGGCAGGGGTCGAAAAGCCAGGCAAGCAGGGAACAGACTGAGGCACCGTCAGGGAGCAGGCGAGGTCGTAGCTGGAGGTCAGGCGGGGGGTCGAGAGCCGGGAGCGCGGAGGTAGGCAGAGGTACCGTCGGGGGTCAGGCAGGCGTGAACGAGGTCTGGGACAAAGGAGAGATCAATAACAGGTAGGCAGAAACAGGATATCTAGAGAACGCTCAGAATGTGATGGCAACATGCACAAGACTTCGCACCGGCTTCTGAGACTTCGGCAGCTTAAATGCCCAGCCTCTCCTGATGAGAGACGAGCCACAGGTGTGTTGGTGGGAGTGGCCGTGCCCGCTCAGTGGGCTGATCCTGAGTGGCACAAACCATTGTCACGTGCCACAGAGGGGTGACTGAGATCCCGAGCTTCGGACCTTAGTACTCCGGAGACGGGGAACGTCTGTTTGTGACACGAGGCTAGAAGAAAACATCACTCTTGAGTCTAGTAGTGTCCTACTTCGGTAAAAAAATCAAATTAAAGCTTAGAAATAATAAATACAAGTTCAAAAAAACTTTCAAATCATTGTTGGAATGCATTAGATGCATTCCAAGTATTGTTCTTCGAATCTTTATTAGTTGGAATGCTTTAAGCATTCCAAGTATTGTTCTTCTAATCTTTATTAGTTGGAATGCTTTAAGCATTCTCCTTCACACTTTCAGCTATTAAAACCATTCAAATATTAAATTATTCAGCTCCTTCAGGAGAGGGGTGCTATGACTTTTCAGCTTTTTAGCTCTTAAGCTTGAATTTATATAAATCTATAATCATTAATATTTTAACATGGTTTTCCAATGGAGATCGTTTTTCAAATCCTCTTAAACTTCTTCAACTTTCAGATTCTTCAGCTTCGCCAATCTTTCAGCTACAGACACCATGTTCAAATGTTGACATAGGTCTCAACTATTTTATGAAAAAAACTGCTTGTGGATATCTTTTGTACTTTTTTCATAATCACTGATTATGTTTCACTAGTTCTTAGCTCCGTTTCTGACTTTTACATGAGTGTGTATTGCGTCTGCTAGAGGGGGACCTCGAGGGCTAGAGTGTGGGGCATCGCAGGAATCTGGTTAAAAAAATATGGAACTTCTGTCCTTGCAGCCAAAGTATACACTCTAGAGGCTTCATTTCTTCAGATTAATGAGGGCATGGTTGTGCTGATTGGATTAATGCGTTCATGGAATCCCAGAGTTCTTTAGTTTTGGCGCAAGGAGTGTTAGAGTGACACAACCTCTGCCAAAAGCCCCATAGGCTCCAATACAAATCTGCCGACATATTTCTCACAAAAATCCACAAGGTACACGTTTTGTCAACGGCCATAGGAGCCGTATTTATTACCGGACAGACATAAAACACACATCCACGCGTTCGGTAGAGTCTTGGGTCTCATAAAAACGCCGTATTTTTTAGATAGCTGTTATAGTTTTGCGCTGAATGTCATTTGTTTGAGGTGTGGATTCTGTGTAACTTGCTGCCATGTCTCTGCCTTTTGCAGCAGCTCGTTAATGAGCACAGGTGCGCCGTTGTCGTGGTTACTCGCTCACACGCTGCAGGATCTCTGTCTGTGACTCACAGCTGCTCCTATGACGTGATTAGTGGAGTCACATGACGCAGCTATGCTTTCTGTCAACAGACCAATATGATAAAGACACTCGCGCCCCCTCCCCCCTCCACCCTGACCTCTTCTCACTGTTAATCACTCTCAGTCAGTCAGTCTGTCTAATTCTCCTCCGCTCTCCCTCTATCTGTTCCTCACCACCATTCCCTTCCTCACCCTCTCACCCTCCCTCCCTCTATCTACACGCCCGCACCCCACCCAATCCAATAAGTGCGCCCGTCGCCGTGGGTACTCTTAAAACACGCTGCAGGATCCAGTCTTGTGACTCACAACTGCTCCTATGACCGGGATTGA